TTTTCAAATGTCTGTCGAGTCGAATCGAATCGAGTGAATACTTAAGTCGAGTCGAGTCGAGTCGAATCAGATTTTTTTGACTCGTTTCGGTCTCTGATATGGGCGTGAAATAGAGAAAATTCACTAGAAGCTCGATATCTCCTCAGAAACAAGCCAGAAATCCGAGCTTTTTTTTACCATAGACACAGCTCACTAAGAGCTACAAGATACGCGAAACCTCGACTGAAAAGCGGATTAACACCTGGGAATGTTCCCCTGTCAGTTTTCTTTTCAAAAGCACATAATTATCTAATTGATCCATTTTGTAATAAGGTCGACAACATAAATCAACATCTTTATAATTAAAATTCGTATCAATAAATGAAAAAGATAAATTATAATATGACATTTATTTATATGAATCACTCCATATATCCGAACTAATGCAAACAGCTTCACTCTCTTAAGATTCTTTCAGTAGTAGTTCTGATTCAGAAAACACTTCTTAGACCTACGTTTCCGATTTTTTAAAGGATTTCATACCTTTGAAAACCGATTTCCCATTAAATTTTTAAACTTCTTGTCTCTTTTTCACACACTTTTATTTGCTTCATATTTTTTGAAAACTTTTCAAGAGAATTAGTAACACAAACATCTGAATTCAGAATACGAGTACCAGTTGTTATTGTTACATACCTATATGTTTAATAAAAAAGTCGACAACTTGGATAATCAACAATACGTTCAAAACTACCTTTTTCAATGTCTATTTCCCGAAAGATCTCAAGTATCCCAGCATTTATATTTTTCTGTTGAAGCAGCATTGTGCATCACTTGATAGTTTATCTTATGGTATTGTAAACGGTACTTAATTTCATCAGCTAAATATTCATTTTTGCTAGAATCTGATGGTGATGACGATGAAGAAATGATAGAAAATGACATGTTGAAAAATAATATAATATATTATAGTACAAAGACGATGTTTCATAATCACATAATGAACACAAAAGAAATAAAATTGTGTTTATTTTGTTTAACTTACAGTCTTCGTGATTTAGTATTTACTTCTTCATTCAAACTCATTCAAAGTAACAATTGTCCACCAAGCAGCTATCCCGACACTATGCTATGATCTAGGAAATGCGAACTTCAAAAATATAGGGGTGTGGATGTGGGATGTGGAGTATGGAGTGTGAGGTATGAGTCTAGAGATGAGTGACACTTAAACACCCTCAACTACATCCACATCCACATCCTCACCTACACCCATACCCACCACACCCACACTCACACCCTTAGGTAACCTAACCTAAGACACAATGTCCTATAGACCGTTGTGTAGACTAAATTACAGTGCAGAATGAGAATAGGTATCCTTTCGACAGTCACATTCCATCAAGTGCAGACTCAGGTAGAATAATTCTTCCTGGACTTTTCTCAAAGTCCACGATACATCACTTCGAGGGACTTTGCGGTTAAATTCAGTAAAAATCACTTTAGTCTATGGCTACGTAAATTAGCAAATACTTGAGTGATTAAAATTGTTTCATAATAGAAAATGCAGAAGACAACATTCTAGCTATTCTTATACATACTGCTCTTTCTCAAAACGATCTATGTAACGACGGGCCTTTACATTAAATTTAAATTAATCATTTTCATCATATATTATCGAAATCGTGGAATGAAAATGATGCAAAACTAATAAAAACTAATGTGATTATTTACGTTTTTGTGAAGTAACTAAGAGATGTCATTGTATCGGTTACTCGGATATCGAGATTTTAAGCATTGATATTGCAATAATAGCTAATCCATTTTTACGTACCGGCCGTCATTAACTAAAAGATTTTGAGTGAATTTGCTATAATGATGTGGATATCGAAATAGATACCCATAGCTACAGGCTTGACAATTTTCAGTGACTTTTAGATCGAAGGTATGGGTGTGGATGTGAGTGTATTTGAATAAGATACCCACATCCGCACACACCACACCCATTCACACCCTGTCTTTCTTAAAATTTATTTTAAACTCACCCTAGTCATCATCCGTCTTAGATAGAATAGCTAACATGTTAGAGAAAAGTATATTTCACGTTCAGAAAAAATACACGCTTAAAATGTTCAAAGTTGAAACTAAAATTTCTACACTTGTAAACATCAGCGATTGAACGTGTCTTTTCTTTTATGCATAGTCTACTTATTGTTCAATTTTTACGATTGATAAGGCCAATTTGTGGTAGTTGTTTACCATCCCGATAAAAGCAACCATTTTCGAGTTCACATTGAGGAGCATTGATGACATACAAGATTGAATCAGCACCAAATTTCGCATGACGAGCACCGGATGCATTCTTATTAATGTCGGTGGCACAAAATCCTGGGCACACCGAAAGCATAAGTACATTTTTGGTACTCGAACATTGACGTGCTTCAATTCGAGTAAGAGCGATAACTGCTGCCTTTGTAACACTATAAATTATATAAGATGACTTAGGATTGTCTCCTAGTTCTCCGATAGTATTTGTGGCAACAGCTGAAATGAAATCTTCGACAAGACTGTTGAGTTGCTCTATGGTTAACGTCGATGATGAGTATTTCTCTTGAAGATTCTTCGAGGCTTCATATAATAGAATGGGACCAAATGCACTGCTCACATTAACCACGCGGCCATTCTCTCGTAAGAGAGGAAACAAATGTTCATTCAATGTTTTGATACCATAATAGTTTACAGAAAACATTTCTCAAGCTGATTCAACAGTTAGTTCTAGCTCTTCAGTAGCAACATTGTTGATGACTACATCCAATCCACTGACATACTTGCATTTAATTTCATCAGTAGCACGAGCAATACTTTCTTTTGATGACATATCTAATTGGAGAACATGGATATTTGGTAGAGAGCCTAGTCGAACGAGCGCATCTTCACCTCGTTTTAAATCACGACTACCAAGAAGAATGATGTTGTTATTGACTGGTGACTCTTTCACAAGCTTCTTTACAACTTCAAAGCCAATGCCTTTGTTGGCGCCAGTGACAAGAATCACACGTTGTTCGCTTGTTGATGACATGTTGAGAATAGAGAATGATGATGAAGAAGGAAAGGAGAAAATGTTGTATCATCATGAAAAGGTTGAGATAAGCTACATATACTTTCACCTACATACACTAGCAGTCATGATAAGCACCTTCATATCTTGCATACAAACATGTGTGTTAATTATTTCTGACAGTTCGAATCAATGACATTCCATTCGATGTTTAACTTATATGTCTGATGCTTATTCTTGGTTTCACGATCGATTTTTTATCTAGTTTCTTGTTCATTGAGCTTGACTAGATACAGTTCTATCGATAGATATGCCATCCGTTGCCTCGCTCACCCTGAACTTCTGGATGAACTATTGTGAATATATTCTGTTATAAAGTTTTATTCGGTTGACAAACTCATGCGACTTTTACTGCAACCACTGCCACCAGCAGGGTTGCCAGATCTTGCGAAATGGCAGGAAAAATTCCGAATTTTGACATTTTTTTCCGAATACTTTCCGACTTTCCGAATTCTTCCGAATTTTAAGATTTTTTCCGAAGTTTTCCGAAATGTAATACTTTTCTAGATTCGAGCTTTTATGAGTTTTATTATAAGTTTTAATTTAATTTTTACCTGCAGTTAATGCACCATCGTTTTTCTATTGTAATGATTAAATAGCAGAGTTTTAAGATCACTAAAAGTACACACTCTCATGAATCCAAAGCCTTTTCGAACTGAACGAGACACCTTGTATCGTGAAAAAAGTCATTTGAATAACCTATTTCTTCAACGTGAACTAAATTCTAAGTTTCGGAGGGTGTGGGTGTGTGGGTGCGGGTGTGGATGTGTGGGTGTGAATGTGGGTGTTTATTGTTTACTGACGTCGACACCCATACTCACACCCACCCACACCCACAGCAAAAGCATGAAAATCTGTTTTAAAAAAGCGATATTAATGGATTATAACGTTTTTTTTACTTTTTCCCTTTGAACGCATTCAAACAACGTTTTACCATTTTCGGGTCCCCGTGTGTATAACCAGAAAATATACTTCCTACAAAATATTATTGCATAGTATCCATCTATGTTTATATTGGTGCAAAAAAGCTTTTCAAAACAAAGACAACTAATGCAAAATGAAACAAAGTATGTTGAGAGGCCATCGAATTATGGAACTCGCGACAAGATTGATCGGTACTGTTTCGAATCTCTTTTTTAATGCATGATTCAACTTTGAGATCTTCATATTTCGGGATGGTGAGTAAAATCTCAGAGTCCACAGTGGTCTCACGAAAGTAAATAGTCAGACGAGCAGCGTTATTGTAGAAATCTTGCCATTGAGCGATTGACTCAGATGTCCATGTAAGGTTACGAAGCCATTGCTCGAACTTTATGTTGTCTATTGATCTACTCGAACGAAAAAAAACAGTAAAATTTCAAATTTTATTAAATTAAACAGACGAAGATGTATTCAGAAGAGTTTGCCACGCTGACTCGTCAATGGATGTCATGCAAGCCGCCAAGCTGTCGACGAAAGGATAATAGGCAAATGTGTGAGAACACATTTCGTCCACTGTACGCTGCCCACCCTATATTGATAAAGCACGATATGCAATTCACACAATACTCTTTTGTGATTCTACCAGTGTTATGTCATTCTTGTTTCTTGTTTGGTATATGCAACGAGTAGCAAATGCGTCTCCCTAAATGTTAATCCAATTTTACGAATATTTGCCATCTTATGTCTTACTGGATAGATTTTAATCAGCTCTGGTAACCGATTTGCAAATTGATAATTGAAATTGAAAGAATCTGCATTAAATAAATATTGAACAGCTGTATTGTTACGAATCAATTTTGTCCACACACTATAACCTATTTTAGAAACAAAAAATTGCTGTTCTGCTTATTATCAAACCATTGAGATACCTTGCAAGTGAGTATGTGGCAAGGCAGAAACAATATTAATGCCAGAACTTGGAAAATTCTGTTTGATAAAGAAGAACATAAAAACAGCCTCGAATCTCTTATAAGTAAAGCATTGCGCATACCCGAGTCGCTTCAGGAGGACAATAGGAGTCGACAATAAATTGTTCGGCTTTCGGTGGAATGGCAAGACTTGTTGGCCTAGACAAAGTTCCAAACAGAACGTACCCAAGATCATATTTTCGAAGATCATTTGCAAGGTAAAATCGAATGCCTGAACTATCTTGGAGATCTAGAAACAAATAAAGCCATTGATGTTATTCTAAACTATGTAACAGACACTCAAGATCATCTTACTGGAGACTTGTCGCGGATTGTCATAATGTATTTTGATCATGAAGTATTTACTGCCCGTATCACTGGTGACAGCATAACCGGTTTCTTCCGGATATGCGGTGGTCTATTTGAAATTAAAAGTCATTCGATTACTGGTTTGTCATTATCGGTTTTCTCTTACGACGTCCGCACCGATTGCCCATGCGGTAGCTAACTTTGAAGAACACATTCTCACTCCACTGAGAACTTCATCACATATGCCGTCGATTAATTTGGCGTCATCAATTACATCTCTCGAAGTGCATTCGAAGAGGTCCAGATGATGTACAAGGTTCTCATTTCTTGAATCAATTAATACTTGGTGCTGTATGGAATGAGCAATGGCAAAGATAAGTGTGAAATAATCATAAAAAATCAAATATACCGCTATGGCATGTCTTTTGGTAGAAAATGTAGTTGGGGTTTTGAATACTTTGCAGTAATATGTAGTGTCAGCCGATGGAACGCCATACTAGGTAAATGTGAGGGATTGCAAAAAAAAATCAAATTACGGAAAAAAAAGCAACTACTCACATTGTTGAAACGTAAGTCGATGGTTTCAAGTCCAAGCAACGTGTCTTCGGCAGGTTGATCGACATACGATCGAAGTGGTAATATACGTGAACCTCTTCGATTATCATGATACGTGATATCGACGTTTGATTGGCACAAATCAAGATCAACAAGACCATAGGCAAATATAAGAATATTGGTGCCAGACTATTTGAAAAAATACAATATTCCGATCAGTTCATTAATGCAATCCATAATCATACCTTTATAGGAACATCCATTGGATCACAAGTATCAAAATAACGTTTGAATTGAATGCCTGTCCATCCATTTTGTTCTTGACCTCGAAGTGCAAACCAATCTTGAGTTGTGTTATCTAAGATTGGTTTTATTTTATCAAATGCAAATCGATCCTAATAAAAGACTCGATCGATCAATCTGTGTATGCATCCTTGGCAAGAGGAGATATGTCATACCTGAATATGAACTTTGCCAGAAGTATCGACCCATGCAACGGCGATGTCAGCACCTTGCATACCTCCAGCTAAGCATCATTATAAAATATTCGAATCAGCAAAAACATTCATCTATTTAATTTCATACCTGGACTAATACCCAAACCAATCCATCCGACAGTGTTAACATGCAATTCAAACGTAATCTCCTGCTCAATATCATTCACTGTCCACCAAAGTTGAGCCACATTTGCCTGAAGTTCTACGGTGTGCTTATAGGTAGTAAATGGTTGAAGAGGACTCGAGATTCCAATGCATAGCTCAATCAGAATCAGAGATATGTACAGCCATAAAATGATTCGAATCTGCATGAACTGGATTTAGAAATAAAACACAAGTTATTCTCAATCGAGACACTCCAATAGCAGTTTTAATGAAAACTTCTTGAAGCCTCTTCTACCTTTGATAAGAATCTGAATGTTATTTTTCTCTCTTATTCTTTGTATTTTATTGTTTTTTGATAAGCCATTTGCAAACATATTAAAAATCGAGTGATCGTAACATTTACTTTGAGATATGTTCGTAAGTGCATTGCATATAATCTCTCTTTCTCCAGATTCATTATTCACAAACATTGTGTATCTTGACGAAGTAACTACGGGTAGTTGTTTTGGGCACATTCGCAGCTATATATTATAAATAAATTATGCTTTTCAGAAAATTGCTTTTTGCGAAGCTGTAGTTCCTTATAATAAAGGACTGTGATCACAAGACGAGTGAAATTCGCCTATGCGTGTATGCGATAGGTGATACACGAGATCATGTCGATGATATAAATAAGCGCATAGTTCGACATAGATACCCTGAAATTGGAAGGTAGAACTATCATTTTGGATACCTGCAGCATTTTGGTACCTGATTAAAGAAACGTTTTGCTCACTTGTAGTAGATCTTCGGTCAGTGTACAAAAAAATGATATCGGGGACATAAATTATGGTAGACGTCGTCAAAAATTTGCTTCCATCTTTATAAATATGTTCGAGGAAATCGAAGCTAAAGGTATCTGTTAGCGCAGCCGTCTTAGGACTGATTTGTTGGATAGAGAAGAACCGAGGTGAATTTCAGTTTCCAATCTCTATTGTTTAGTTTAGCGAAAATGCAAAAAGAATAAAAGATATTCTCATACGACATAATACGATGGAATGTGATATAAAAAACAATAAAGCGAATTGTAATCATGTTTTTCAATGGTAATGGGTATCTTCTCTAGGGTCACTGCTTCATATCTGTCTCTTCCCCGTTTGAGCGCTCAAATGGTCAGAAAAATTTTCGTGTGCCATTCTGTTACTATTCTTTACATTTCAATAGGGCTAAGTATGCTGGCTAAAATATTATGTCTTTCTTCCGAAATACTTCGATAACAAAATGATCTGAAATATACTTCCGAAAACCTGGTTGAAATTCATATTAGTTTCTTGAGAAATTATTTCATATAATGTGTCATGTTTCTTCTATCTGAATCATTAAGAATCATTTAGACGCTCAAATATAGTTAATTTGATCAATATCGAACACTACCTCGATCGATTCATATGCTGGTTCATTTTCATCGCTCAAACCTTAAGATGCCACATAGTTTTCACCAGTGGACTAATCAGTCTTTCCTCAGACCAAAATTCAGCGTGTTCTTTCTGAAGATACTTTTCACAATTGAAAATTCAATATCTAGTAAAGCCTGCTTGCTTTAACCACAACTATTTCTGTAAAGTCAAATTACTTTCGTGGCTAATATCCGATAATTTTCGACTTTGATAATCACAATTTGACTTTGGAATGAATATGCTAATTATAAACAGTACAAGAAACATAGTTAACTGCCATATAATTCATATTGCTTCCGCAACTATCCTTTTTCTTCGAATTCAGCCATGTGATCATCCTTACAAGTGAATGATAGTATGCATTTTTTGAAAATCTACAGTTAAAGATCTAGATATTTCGGACTTGATCTCGAATCAAGGTTCCACAAGGTGAGAACAACGCATCCAGCATCCAAAGAATTCTTTTGAAGAAATTCGCTTTCTACACATTCTTGTGGAGTTACACAGATTCAAATGACGGGGATGGGGTGTAAAGGCCATTCTAGAACCACTACTAGTTCTGATCAAGAATATGGTTCACTATAGTAAAATGTGACCAATAACCATTTGGTAATAAAATAAAGCAGTTTCAAACTGGTTTGGAGATATTTTACGTCAGAAATATTAATACCCATGACCAGTGATTTATGTAACTAGAAATTTGCCGAGATATGACTACCATGTTATAAAAGAAATATTAAGTGCAAGACTATTTCAGTGAATGACTTGTCCTGATGTTTACCTGTTGAAATTAATTTCACTTAGTTCGATCGAAATCTCGAAACAGAAGGACACGAACACTACTCGAATCAGTAGCAATCTTAACAGGGCAACTATTTATTCTGCAAAGCGTTTCCTCGATATCTCGCGAAAGAAAAACAACAACATGGGGTTTTCATTGATTCTGAAAATCGCAAAGATAACCCAAAAACTCGTGCATTTTCCGATTTGCTTGCAGGAGGTCTTCATAGAAAATAATCGCTGAACGTTTATTAACTGCATAAAACAGTTTCTATCGTACCCTTGCATGTCACTAATTTAGCTTTCAGCCATATTTTATTATAAAGCAACGCTTTAAGGCCATCCTCCGCCATCTCAAAAACCAATTTCGCACCAGGTATATTCAAACTGGTTGAAGTTTTCAGGCTATGATAAAATTTTTAGCCCGGTACCTAGAAGGTTGACAGGGATATTCAACAAACACGAGTGAAAAATAGCATATTTGGGTGTATTCCTGTAAATACTGCTTCAAAATGCAAGGTAAAGTGAGTTTGAAAATACGTGCCCCAGTGGAATTTTTCGGCGTTATTTTAAATTTTAGCGCTGACTCGTTTCCTTTAATGATGAACCGTATTTGGTCTAGAGGTAGTGGCCACAACAGCACGATTCACCATAATTTTGCTTGATTTTGACACTTATACAGCGATCAAATTTGCAAATGTACAGCTAATTACAGGATACATTCGATTGGTGAACTTTTTCTGTGAATTTATTAATCTGTAAGACACAATCTATAATTGAGTCACATAGCACGTTGTAGCGCCACACATATAGAAGTCAAGTAATATATTATGTCGCTACTTTGACTTTAGTTGGGATGCAATTATACACAGAATAATCTTGCATGACACTTTTACAGCATGCTTTATCGTTCATATAAAACATATACTTTCTGACTTCGATATTTTCAAGAATATTCGATCACAACTAGTAGATAAAATGATAAAAATTCCACCTCAGTCTTCCTCAATCTAACAGAGTTATAGGGCAGATAAAGTATCGCGTCTCACATGATTTTTATTGTGACAACTGTATTTTCAAATTTTATTTTACATCCTTATGTTAACAAAAATAAGTAGAATTTTCGCATCGTCTTTAGCACTTTTATTTCTATTGATTGACTTTCATTCGACACCGACCCCACCAATTTTGAGTGCTTTGTTACATAGCAAAGTTGAACTTGAGCGTTGACAGTACATCTGATATTCTGAACAAAATGTAATAGGAACTGTGATAAAAGAACCAATCAGTCTCATATCCGACATGTATAAACTGTCTACTATAAATATATGTCAGGATTTATTCGAAGCAAAATTGTGTTTTTTGTGAATTGGTGAGACCTTGTTGGTACAGTCAAATATAAGAAAAATTACCAAGATTGATTGAGAAGAACTCGAGATATTGAAGTTATATTTATAAGAGCACAATGGTACAATAATTTTTCAATTCACCCATGGAATGAGGGTCTACAGAGAATTCTTCTCTGCGTGATCAACAAAGCAAAGACTGAGAAAAAGATTTTCCAACTTTACCGGAAAAGCACATTTTTTAAACTGGAAATGACGGAATTTTCTACAAACGAACAAGATGCCAGATTAAAATTGATATCATTTCTGAAAGATCTCAAGACGGGCTATCTTTCCATGCTTTTCAAAATTCTTTGATATTTTTGTCAAAAAGGGATGTGAGTGTGGGTGTGGATGTGGGTATCGATGGGTGTGCGTGTGGGTGTGGGTGTGTGTGTGTGGTAGGTGTGGGGTGTGACAGAAAAGAAGACACGCCCACACCCACACCCTGCTCTTCATTATCTAATACATGCTTATGATGTTGCTCAGAGTAATATATCTAAAGAAACAATAGATTATGTATCAACTTATCAACAATTAGTTAATACATTATCATATCCACAACATTTACTGAGTCATATTTGCAGGCGTACAGATAAATGAGATTTTTATGAAACTAAACATTTGAAAACAAAAACAAGTTATATCACAATTGTATACTATTTTATTTTTATCGTAAAGTTCATTGCTGTTAGCTAAATCGTCTGATGAAAGATCTATTCAAGTTAGTTTAACATTATGTTTGATTAAAATGATGGGTCGTATTGTATCTAATATATCTTCAACTGAACTTGAACTAGTTTTAGCCCAATTTAATACAACAGATCAAGTATCATTATTTCTAGACTGTGATGCTGACAATCGAGCTTATGCAACAAAATGGCTTTCATATTCTCGTTTACAGACCGGTGATTGGTTTGGTATATTATCTTTAATAAATGATCTGTATATTGCTTATAATCAATCATTGCCACCATCAACTCATCATTTATTATTTGCATATTGAGCTCTTGCACGTGCTGCTATCAATCTTTTCTATTGGTTACCATACGATATTCAAATCGTTAATAAAATACAGGACTTAGAGACAGTTGCTGAAAAGCTTCCATTTGTTACATTCGATGAAGGTAGCACAGATGTAGATCTAGCTTGAAGTGAAGCCAGATATCGATTCAGTAAGTTTTAAAATTATTTTAAATTCTTATCAAATTTAATAATTTTTTTAGGTGATTGTATTCGATTATTAATTTTCAATAATACGAACGAATTATAATCAGTCAACTAAAGAATTCATAATAGATCAACATTTTGCTCGTTTTGTTATACTTTCTAAGCAAACTGCTTGATTAAATCAATATATATCAACAAGTATATCAATGATGATATTTCAAATTCAAGAAATTATTTATTTTAACAATAATTCATTTCAAGATTGTTTAAATATATTAAACGAAGCTACTCAACGTGAATTTAATCTCGTTATTGATAATAATAGCCCGATTTTAATTTTTGCACGTTCATCCGAATTATTAGCTAGGCATTTATTACTTATTAATCGAATATATCAAAATCCATTGGTAAATCTAAACTTAGATTTTATTTAAAACGTATCAAACTAAAATTTCTTTTAAGGGACAAGCTAATTCTTCTACATTTATGTTAAATGGTGCACAAGTACTTATAAGTGAATTTCCACTATATGCATTGAATCTTTATCAATTAGCAGATCTATCAGCTCCTAATCGAGCAATAAATATACTTGGTATGGCTCGAGCTAATGCTCAACTTCGCTATAATGATGAAGCAGTAAAATTCTATTGAAAATTACTTGTTCAAATAAGTTCTTCGAATTATACTGATCCATTATTTTCTCAAGAAGCAACTGATTTTATTACTCAAGTAGAAAATATGAAAAATTCTGCTAACACTAATCAATTGTGGTTTTTATTAATCTTAAGTGTTTCTATATATTTGGTTTTTTATTAATTAATCAAAAAAATTTCTGCAATCTTAAATTCTTTTAAATATTCATCGAAACTAGAAAATGTCAGCGTCTATCTTCATCTGTTGTCCTGCTCTCATCTTCAGCATAATTCGCTCAGTTTCAGGATAGAAAGTAAAGTAGGATTTATAGGAAATGAGATTTTCAATTATAAGATGTGCATATATTTTTGCGTGCAGTGTATAATGAATTTTGAACGGCACTCTGTGTGCAAATGTATATATTCAACAAATATAAACATACTCTTTGAAGATGTATATTGAATCACTTTAAAATTTGTCTCTAATAATTTTAAACTTCTTCACTTGATTTTTGTAAAATTTGATCATGTACGAAAAGCAAACAGATTTATCATCACATTCTTTTTTGTAAGATTTATTTAAGATTCTAATGACATAAATATTATTTGTCAAAAATGATCAAAGAAATCATTAATAAACAATAAATAAATTAAGTTAATATAAAACCTATCTTGTATTTATATTTAAACTATGATTAATAAAATTTGTTCAAGATTACATATTAACCGTTTGAATGGCAAGTTTTAAGAAAACTGATTGAAGATAAGTCGTAACAATAAGTAGTGATTGTCTATTAGCAATATCATGTTCACCAGCATAAATAATTCCTTTATATTGTTTAAAAGATAATTA